CGCACTTCGCCCGATGAAGAAAGCCAATGAAAATAGGAGTAGGAGTAGGAGGAGGAGGAGAAAGGAGGAGAGAAGAAGACGAAGGGAGGAGGAGGAGGAGGAGGAGGAGGAGGAGGAGACACGTGGCACTTCGCGCAACGGTACCGTATCGACGACGACGGGGCAGCTTTCCGACAGCGGGCAGTGACGACGAGCTGGGAAACGGGCAGCAACGACGGGCAGCGGCGGCGGGCAGTGACGACGGGCATCGACGACGGGCACCTCGGCAAAGGTGGGCAGCGACGGGAAATTCTTCGGCGGGCAGCGACGAGACCACTTCGACGGGCAGCACGAATTCAACGTTCGAATTCGAAGACCGCCCAAACGAATGTGCAGTCGGCGGAAGAATTTGCGCCGGGGGGGGGGGAAGCTCCCAAGAGCGAAAAAAAAACACCGAAAAAGGACTCCCCCCTCCACCCCCCCGCGCAAAAACGCGCTGGGCCCGCCCGGCGTCAAACCAGGGGACCCAACCGGCCGGGCCACCCGGGACCCCTGCCGGACGGAGCCTGGGCCGCCGGGCGGCCCGGAATTTAACACAGAAAGACACCGACTTCAGATGACAAGCATTCACATGCTGTGATGCATGATGTAATATCTGTGTATCCGTTCAATTGTGTGTGCTTGTCGTTTCTCTTCGAAATTCTTGCCAAGTGAGGCTATGATTATACCTGTTGATGTAAGTAACTGAAAGCTCGCAGTTGAGGCACTAAATTCGAAGTTCCTGTAATGGTTTTGAATGCTCCCTCTTGTACTCTCTCTCTCTCTCTCTCTCTGCCCAGTCTAAGGGCAAAATTGAGAAGAGGGCATGAAGATTATGAACAAATGTGCTCTCTTTCTCTCTCTCTCTCCTTCTCTCTCTCTCTCTCTCTGTGTGTGTGAGTGTGTGTGTGTGTGTGAGTGTGTGTGTGTGTGTGTGTGTGTGTGTCTGCCCAGTCCAAGGGCAACATTCAAAGACAGCACGGAAATAATGAACAAAGCATCCGAGTGTGCATGTCTGTGTGTATGTGCACATGATGATGTTGGTGTATGCACCTGTGTGTGCCAGCTTGTAGGCACGTGTGTGTTGAGTGATTCGGGGGAGCAAACACCAACACCTAGCCGCTTCAAAAAGTTGGCCGGTGCCACCCACAGATCCATGGATAAACAGTCCAGATTGTGGGTTGATCATTTTCTAACCCAGTGCGCATGCAATGAAGACCATCCGGTACCACTACACCAGCGATCAGTGGTGCATCAGGCCCGTGAGACAATAGAAGAAAACCAAAGGGTGTGGATGCCAAGCTGATAATCCACCTGCAACAAGAACCATATCGATGATGTGCGAATGGCTGACCATCATCATTTGGCTGCACCACAAATTTCTGCCCCACAGGGCGTAGACCACATGGGTGATCTGCAAATGACTGGCCACTCGCCAGCAAACAGCCCAGGACACTTTGGGCTTTCAAAATCAACTTGGCAAACTGCAAACTCTTAGCCGGCATCCAGCACCCCGGCCCTAGATCCTCCGCAATCTCTGTGGTCTGGCTGCAACCAATGCTTGTCGGACTTTCTAGTAAATACCCTTGAGCTTGATGCGAGTCTTCCCTGCCTTTTTTTTTTTTTTTTTTTTTTTTTTTTGATGCGAGTCTTCCCTGCCTACAGCGCCAGGATGGTAACTATACCCTAATAAGTACTTACCCTAATAAGAGACCGAGGCTTTGCAGTTGTTACAGTTGTTATTATGTATTGTCGATTTGTCCCATATCTATGAACTAAAAGAGTGCACTTTGTGGAACAAATGATAAAAATTAAACAAGACAAGTACGACCAGTGCCGCGGCTCCGCATGCATGAGCAAAGGGTATATGTGGGGTTGAAGTTAGGGGTGAACAGAGTTAAAATACACGAATGGGCTGCGTGGGGGAAAGGATAGTCTAGGCCAATGGTCATATGTAGATAGCAGGAAAGGAAGGCATGTCCTTCGTGACATCTGCGTGAAAATTGGAACGTTACAGCTAATGAAGATTAGCATGTCCCCTGAGCAAAGATGACACACACCAATCAAGAAATGCTGCAAATTGTTAATAAGAAGAAGAGTAAAAAAGGAAGACATGATGATTTGCTACAAACAGCAAGTTAATGTAATCCGTTTTTGAAACTTTTATTCCCACAAATTATCATCACGGACCCACCAAAACGGACACTGAGAAGACTTGATTTCTGGGATTTGCCGCTGGAATGCATGCCTTGCTGAGATTCCCGCATTCTGCTGTGGTTTCCAAGTCTGTGTGTGTGCGTGCCTGCTGGTCTACGTGCCTGTCTGAGTGCTTGTCGGCCTGAGTGTGTGTGACCCGCAAGGGTACTCGTTGGTTGAAAGGCCCCGCAGGGCCGGTACTTACCCGTGGCCGTAACTTTGAGGGTTGCAGCGGGAAAAACACTCTAGTTGGGGTAGGCCCGCGACGCTAAGAGCAACAGGTAGGCTGGTACCACTCAAGTAGTGGTGGGAGGAGGCACCGGTTGCTGGGAGGTCACGTTGCCTAGGAAGTCACCGCCCAAGAGGCAAGTAGGCCGCTATATCTTCAGAAGGCGCAAGTAGCTCCTCCTCGTTTGCGGTGTGTGCAAGGATTGGCGACATAGGGCTACAGCCAAGCGCTGGACTTGGAGGGCTTCCTGGAGGAGGAGAGCAGCTGGGCGCTCAGCCTGGCTATGGCAAGCAGCCCAGCCTGAAGAGGAGGAAGAAGGGGGGGCGAAGGAGGAGAGTGGCGACGTACCTACCTTGCTGTGGTGGACACCATCTTCATCACCTTGATAGGCACTGCATCTGGAAGGCCCCAGTTGGGGTAGTGCCGCACCAAGGAAGCTTGAGGCAGAGTCAGGCCTCGCGGCCTGATGAGCAGCGACATAGCTGCTTTGTGTTGTCCTTTGAACAAGCCATAGCCTTGGCATGTGAGAGGAGGAAGAAGGGGGAAGCCATGGCTATGTTGAACTTTTTGTTGTGCTAGTAGAAAGAGGGAACTCCGGATATTGATTCTGGTTCATCCACTCATTGTAGTTACTATTATTGGGACGGTAGACCGCTATATCTTTGGAAGGAGCAAGTAGCTCCTCTCATTTGCGGTGTGCAAGGATTGGCGACATACTGCTGAAGCCAAGCGCCCTCCACGTTTCTGACACACCCCCGTCCGTCACTTTTTCTTCTTCTATCTTTTTACCACCCTTTCTGGCAAACTGCAAAACATTCAAACTCTTCAAAATTGCACGATTCTGCATCACGACAACGCACAATGCAGGATTCGAGCGCCCAACCACATCATCAAAACAAAAACAACAAAACAAAACAAAACAATGCAACGCGAAAAACAAAAGCATGACAACACATCCTACCATACATCAGAATCACATCCAACGTCACATTTTTGTGCCGTGACAGGCGGCGCATCAGATTTTACATCGGACGTCTGAGAATCTTTCATCTCACGGCTCGCCGCGATCGCGGCAAATCGCATATGTGGCAACATTTTGGCATTGTGGAAAGTTCGACGCAAGAGGACAGCCGCAGATCATACATCGTACGGTCGCCACCCTGCAGCTGCCGCCACCATATACAGCCCACGTCCCATAAGCATTAGTAGGGGGAGAGACAAACATGAAGAGCACAATAAGACCACCTTTTGTGATCGTTCTTCTTTGAGCTCCCCCTTTACTGCGCCTCTCACGCACAGTGACAAATTTGACAATACAGAAAGGGATCTGAAGCGGAATAGACACACTTGTTCATCGCACAGGACAGTTTCAGAATATGAATGAAGTTCTTCCCCATTGCAAAGGAGCAGAATCGCCTCACCTGCACAAGGAGCAACTGGACCGCAGTTCGGCATCTGACATCAATAATTGTTTGCTGCAAGCTCAGCCCTGCCATCTCACCCTGTGTAACAGATTCCCCATCCTCTGATGAGCTACTTCCACCCTCCCCTGTGACTGTTGCCACAGCTGTTGTAATTTGGCTCCCCTCTCCTGCACTCTCCAACGTTCTGCTGGGATGGCTTTCACCAGGGGCAGCTTCTTCGTGATCCTCGCCAGTCCTGCCAACTATCCGTGCAACATTTGGTAGAGTCGAATGCACAGCATCTTGTAGGACTAGGAGGACCTCATGCCACTTCTCGTCGGAGAAGAGTTCACCGGCATTGCTCATCAACCTGACAAATGCAGCAACCCCGATTGCTGCAAGACTCTGATGGGGCCGTTTAATGAAGCCTGTCAACAGGCCCAGGATGCGCCCTAAAAGTGGCGAGACGACGGGATAGAACTTCACAAACAGATCAACAACCAGCTGGAGAGCCAAAGTGCACGTTTCATAGAGCCAGGCATCCATCTCCAGTTCCGTTGGCTCCATGTCCATACCTTCATCATCTTCCACTCTTGCAAATGCTCCCTGGTCGACTTTTGGGGGCTTTTGAGGCTCCGTTGCCCGCCGCACGTAGTCAAAGATTGGGAATAAAACTGAATCAAACACGCGCTCCCACAGCGCAGGAGAGAATAAGTGCCCATGGAACCGCAGAGTGTCGAAAAGAACCTCCAACGCATCCTTCCGGATTTCTGGCCGGGGGTCAAATGTTAACTCAGAGAGACCTGCAGAAGAAAAATTTTGACGGCTTATAATACAGTCAATGCACAAAGGTAGACTAGTTCACGGAACAACTCACCTACCTCAGTTGTTACACCCATGAACTGCTGAATTACAGACCTCAGTTCGAATCCAGATAGAGTCAGTTGAGCAAAACAGCTCTGAATTAACGTGGGTGAAAGGTTGCCGGCGTTCGAGACGGGTTCGAACGCCCGAACGTTCGGAACCCCTCTCGACGCGTTCGGCCGTTTGGACGAACGCGGAACCCCCTCCCCCCAAAAAAAAAAAAAAGAATTCCAAAAAATCAGAAAAAAAAAATGTTATGCATAAGAATAAACTAAACAACATTTGCCTCAACGTTACAACCAAATTCTTTACCAAATTTGAAATAAAAATCAAATACTAAAAATAAATAATACTAATAAAAATTAGAAAAAATAAAACGAGAATGAAATTATCGAGTGGGCGAGCACGTTTTTGACACCGCCATCTTTGGCAATATTTCATTTTTTTCTTGGCTTTGCCAAATGCTATGAAAATTTATATATCGTCAAATAGAACTGCCCGGTAAACCGTAGGCAGAGAGGGAGAAGAGGACAACAAACGAGGGGCTGTGACAAACTGTTTTGTCGGAGTTTCACCGACTCATCAGGAGGCTGAATATCTTACATAATAGAGAATCTACAAATAAAGTTTGAAAAACTAACAATTTCTTTCATGCCCCGCAATAAAGGGAAAACAAAAAGCGAAAAGAGAGAAAAAACAAATTAGTGAGTGGGCAAGCAAGTTTTGACACCACCATCTTTGAATGGCTTCAAAATTTAGGAGATGCCTTACATCACAAAGAACTCACAAAAAAAAAATCAGAAAAAAAAAATAATATTTAGGTGCCAAAATATTTTTTTGCGGAGTCCGAACCCCTTCAAGTTCGGGCCCCGTACGGGGACCCGAATAACCGAACGTTCGGGGGTCACCTTAGGGGCCTCCGTACGTTCGGCCTGGCAACCCTGTTGGGGGGGGGGGGGGGGGCTCAGTTCGAACTTCAGCAATCCGGTCAGTCAGTTCGAGGATGATATCTCCAGTCCGCTGTCCTTTTTAGAGGGAGGACAAAAAACTAGTTCCAGGCACAGAGAAGCATCATTCAGAGCAGAGCACTGTGCACGGGGCTAATGATTGCATACGAGCAAGTGTCTGTCACCTTGTCCAACCATTGTTTCTAAACATCCTGCTTGCCCAACCAAGCCATAAGCTCAAATGATATACACAGCACCACTGAAGCTTGCACGCCACAAGTACGATAAACCACAGAATGCATTCAGCACAAAAAATACCTCTAACGACAGAGGATCCAATGATTAGGAATCTAAGATCCAGGAGAAAGAAATAAGTGGACAGTATACTGACAGGACAGCTCAAGGGAAGCAGAACAAGAATGACCGATACCTTTCTCAGTCTTTCAGCTACAATCAAGTGTGGCATCTGTTCTGATCAGTTTACCACATGATCCATTGGATATCCAACGACATCAAAAAGAAGACCAAAAGGGGGAAACAATCAGAGACACACAAATCGAGAGTTGGATCGTGTAACACACTAGCAAACGACACACAAGGCCAAGCAACAGAGTCAAAATCGAGCTGACGGTATTGAGACACAGATGGCATCGTTGATCAAAAGTAGATAGCAACCGACAGTCCCAGACATGGCAAAAAGGACAGCCCAAAATAAGCAGAGGAGTGAAATACAGAGAGAAAGAAACAAAGGCGAGGATAAGAATACTACAACAAACATCGCAGGGGGCACATGCAGCGACGGGAAAAAGGGGATGTTCGTTCAGCGAGTCTACAAACCTGCAAGAAGGGGAAACCAGAAGTAAACATGGTCATCCTTGTCAGTAAACTGGGTAACAGGTTTGGACTTCTTTATCTCATCCTCTTTGCCCAGTTTTCCGAGCTCGCCCTCTGCAAGTTTCACGGCACAGAAACGTAGGAACTTGATAGCATCGATGCTCACATCCTTGCTGAAACGACTATTTGTGAAGGCAATCAAACAGTTTACACAGTCCGTGAATGTGGTTGTCTCGGTCTCCGTGATATAAGGGAAGTAGTCCCGGACAATTTTTTCTATGGTTGTAAATGCCAGCAAGACAATGTTCTTCTGATCATCAGAAGCGGCTGTGGTGAACACCTGCACACACACACACACACCCGTGCAACCACTCAGTCAGCCCTGTTTCCCACACAATTGCAAAAACCATACATCCATCACAGATAGTAACACAGTTGTTCTCTGTCTCTCTCTCTCTCTCTCTCTCTCTCTCACACACACACACACACACACACATTCCAGCCACATTCCAGCACACACAATCACACAGAGAAATAGCAGTCCGATGAGATTATTTACTTAAACAGCCGCTACCTTTTCCAGGCAAAGTTGAGAACCGAAAATACGACAATCCGAAGACTTTGGATGAACAGTGCTACTGAACCAAAATGGCTGGCGGTGCCAGCCAAAACACGAAAGAAAAAGTGCCACTGTGGCGGTTCACTTTCTTTTGGCATACATGGGAAATCTGCCTCAGCCAAAAGACGCTTGTAGGTAATGGTGCTTTGCACAGGCTGCATAACGAACCATGTGCGAGAAACAGCCCATTCTGAAACTGGCTGCACTTGCATAACCTCACTTTAACCTTCCAAATGATGAGCACACAGTAAGGCTATCAGCAACTCGTGTTCATAAACCAGTCGTGTCTCTGCTATCAACAAGCTGTTAGCATGCGAGGACCAGTGAGCACCAACTCGTGTTCGTAAATCAGTCGTGAGCAAGGACCATTTCAGGTTGAATGGTGAGGCAAAAGAAGCGTGCCCTGGCCTTCACTCTGGACCGTTTCCTTAACTCACTACAGCCATTGATTGTAGTCAATCGGGCCAACTTACTGCTGTACAACCTGGTTGGCTACTAGACTCTTTCACACATCATTTGTGAACCAAGGGAAAGTCCTGACCAGACTTCTGGGACTCCATGAGCCAGATCGCCGAAAGGGGAGAATCAGACAAAGAAAGCCAACCATGAAATTACGATGAAAAGACAATAAGCCTGGCGGGAAAAGACAGAAAAGCAGAGTGGGGATATTAGAACAACTGCTTGCCCTAAAACCAAGCTGCTTTTTCCTGTTGGTCTAGGCTTGCAGAAATGCCCCTGATTATCCCTGACAACAAGGTGATGCCACTGTGATAATCTGGAAGGCACTCTCGTTGAACCACACAGAGAACAACCACAGGAGCAGTGAACATTGATTTCAACTCTGCGCGAGGCTTCAAGACTCTCGACAATGCAAGAAAAGGCTGCGCCCCCCCTAAGTGAAGGCGGGCCTGCTATCATTTGTTAGGGCCTGAAAACAGCGGCATATTACAGCCCCATGGAATACAGCCCAATGGGAGCATAATGGGGCCCCAAAGGTTGGTTGCTGCACACAGCATCTTCAACCAACCGGTGGCTCGCTTGGTTGCAGATGCTGGGGCCCACGCCACTTATAGTGGAGCCCAAGCGACATTCTGGAAGGGCCCTGGCCGCAGCTACTGGGACAGAGGCCGGCTAGTCCAGGCCTGCCTCGCCCATCCAACCAGAACAAAGTGAGGTGAGCTCGCTCACAACATTCTGGCTGGCTGGATGCCGCAGCGCTGCTGGAGCGCTTGCCTGCTTGAGAAGAGCCTGGCCAGAGGGAAACAGGGCGCTGGCGGGACGCACGGGAAGAAACAGCCTAGCCGCAGCTGGTAGCAAGCGGCGGCCATAGCCGGGCCGCATCCATGCTTAGCCGGTGGGGTATGGCACTGGTCATCGGGCCGAGAGGAACTGTGTCGGGGAAGACGAGGTGCAAGCGGTGTAAAGAAGCACGTACCCGTTGGAGGAGAAGCCGGCCATCCACACAGAGTCTACAATCCTCATTGGGTTCATGATCTTCACTGTAGACCTGTTGGAGCTAGGAGTCCAGGTCAATAGGAGCCATCTGGTTATGTAGGAATTCTACATTGTTGCCATTGGTGATCGGAGGCGAGAACAGGGCTTCATTATCATGTGACTTCGATGCGCTTTGCTCGTACTTACTTGGTGCTATCTAGGTTGACAATCTGCGCTCAGTTCGGGCTCAAACCTATCTGGATTTCTGTGGAATGCTGCAATTTGGTTTGTTGTCATTCGCATAGCTCATTTCCTTGCAATTTGGTACTGGAGCTGGTTCAAGGGCCTACTCCAGTCGGCTCCAGTGCAAGTACAATTGTGCTGTGGCGATTGTTGGTCCCTGGATAAAGGGGGGCGCGGCAGGAGGCTTGGAAAAATAATGGGTGCATACTTGGTCATGCGAGTGAGGCGGCGTGGCATTTGCAACGGAGGCACTTGCATCGTATTGTCGGTGGTTCCAATGCTACGACAGGTCAACGAAATGCATGTCGTCACCATTGGTGAGGCATCTGTGGTTGGGGTCACCATTTAAGGTAAGTTGTCTCTGACCCTATCTACCTTCCTTTGTTGCTTCTTACGTGAGGAAGTGAATCCTGCTTGAGAGTCATCCCCTGGTAACGCATTAGAGAGCAGAGCCCGCATTCTTCTGGCGCATCTGGTGGGAGAATGGCGGTGCCTGTGAAGTGCCCTGAGAGTATGAAGCACTGGTTCACAATCAATATCAACCCACAGGGCTTAGTACACACATGCAAGGCGCTGAAAGTCCTTTTGCTCTTGCTGCACATAGAAGCAGCAGCGGTCTGGCCAGTTCTACGGGGGTAGATGTGTTACCGGACCATCTATAAAGGGCGGATGGTGAACGGGGCCGGCCAGTCATTGTATGCTTGGGCAAAGGGGTGGACCCGATCACACTAAGTCAACGCTCCTTTCAATATTAACCCTGAAGGTGTCATTGGCAAAGATGATCAGGAGCATGTAGAAATGAGTAGGTTCCAGCTGAAAACTACTGTCTTCACCCGGATAGAACGCCTGGTCACAAAAGGCCAACCGGCCTAGCTCAGTCGGTTGAGGACGTAAGTGGTACACAGGAGTTTGTGGCCCCACATCATCCTTTCGACGACCACCTGTGGCATGCTTCAGGTTCACCGGCTGAGAAAGTCGGCTTGTCCCTCCTGGCCAGCTGTGGAAGTTGCATTTGGCTTTCCAGCCCACGCCAGGTGTTTGGATCTTGGGTACTGCTCCCCACACAGAGTAGAGTTGGGTAGGCGCAGACCCATAACCTTAGGATAGCTTAGCTTCAGTTAGTGAATTCAAGGGTAGTGCTTAGCTGGTAGACACAGGAAGTCCTCGTTTGGTGCGCTTAGTGGGTAGTCTAGTTGCTCGACCCTGAACCCAAGTACAGAAGGGTAGTTGTTCCTCTTGAATAGCTGTGGTCCATTATCTGCCTTGTAGGGCTTGTGGGTAGGGCATATAGATAGAGGTAGCTAGTGTGAGGCGAGAAAAAAATATTGAGAGAAAACACAAATGTCCCCCATATGGGGAGAAGACGGTGGATTTTTTAATGAAAATAGACATTTTGAAAAAAATACTGAAAAAGTTCAAAAAAAAAAGAATAAAGAAAAGGGAAAGAGAAAGCCACATCGGTTTGTTAGGAACATAACTCTACCCTATCAGTTTGCTTACTGCATCGTCAATTATAGAACTAACCGGATAGAAACACAGCATCTGTAGGGTCTATTAATATCTGCAACTACTGTCGGGCAGTATTCTGAAGTTCTGAGTTGGTATGTTATTTTTACTTGATTTATTCCATCTCTTGCTGATGAGCGAAGAGAGCAGTGACAGTGAGGGAATAGCTGACACCAGGATCACATGTAGAACAGTCGTTTAGCGTAAACATTCCAGGAGGCCAGGGGGCGGTTGGACAGGGCACAGCGGGTCTCTGCATCTGCAGCTAGGCCATTGGAAGACACGGTCATGCAGGCCAGTGGTCAGAGCACCCAAAGTGGGGCCGCTCAGTGAATGGGAGGATCAGCGGGATCCTCAGGTAGTCAGATGGCTGGCGCGCAGCCATCCAGATTTACCGCAGAGCACTTCGAGGTCAAGGAGGGCGAGTCCCTTCGGCAGCAGTTAGCAACCCAGCTTCAGGAGGCTGAAAATAGAGAGAAGAGCGAGAGAGAGGAGGCTGAAAATGGAGCCAGAAGAGGAAGAGAGAGGAGGCTGAAAATAGAGCAAGAGGAGCGAGAGAGAGGAGGCTGAAAATAGAGCCAGAAGAGCGAGAGAGAGGAAGCTAGACTAGGCAGTTTGCAGGTGGATAAGACAGAACTAGAGGAACTGGATGAAAATGTGTTTGGTCCAGCTGAGGGATTGCTGAGAACGATTGTTCTGGGCATTTATCAGGCTCTGGAATCTTTAGAGAGCAAGGTAGATTCTCTCCTTTCCAACCAAGACCAGATATTGTTAGAATTAGGAGGGCAGAGGAGACCGCTCCCCGCCAGTGCTACGCAGCCAGTTCTTCGGCCTGTAGGGCAGCTGCCAATGAGTCTGCCACTCCTCACAGCCGTTTATACCTATGTATGGCATACAGCCCCCAGGCGGTAGTTCAGCAGGTTTTTCTCAGACCAGGGTGCAACATTGTGTGTCTCAGGCATCTGCAGCTACAGTGCAGATGCAGGCTTCCTCATCTACAGGTCCTGTAGGTGGGGGAACAACACCGTAAGTCCAGAAGGCATCCATTGCACAGCCTGACACTCGCTCAGGGGACAAAAAAAGATGAGAACCTTAATACGTGGCTCAGGTCTGTGCCGGTGTACGTGAGGACAAAAGACACGCATTTAGACAAGGAGCTGATCGTTGCTGCATGGTGTGATACCAGCAGCTGGGAATCAAAGGCATATGGCTGAATTGCCTGCTACGATCTCACTAGATCAGTTTATGACCCTTGTGGAAGCCATGGCATGAGCGCCAGCAGGCACAGCGCGCTTCAGACGAGCGGAAGGCCTGGAGAAAAGGAGGTGTAGGCGTGTACGGGAGGTCACAGAAAGGGTAGAGAAACTGATAATGGTCCCAGGCGTACTGTACACGGGCACAAGATGTTTACGTATCTGAGGTGTCTCCCTGCTAGTCAATGAGGCCACAACTGCCAAGAACGGCATCACGAGCCTGAGCAAGTTGGCACTGGACTTCGAGGCCAAGCTAAGTAGTGCTATTCAGGGTGCTGTTGCTGGGCAGAAGAAGAACTTGCCCCAGGACTGGAGGATGAAAGCAGGTCACCTTCTCTATGTCAATGCCGATGGGAATCTGGAGGAGGTAGAGGACCCTCCAGACCTCGTAGGAACTGCAGGGTGCAGTACCAGTCACTATACTTCACAGGGAAAGGTAGTGGCTGTGGCAAAGGCTGAGAAGGCTGGTTCTTCGATGGGGGGTCGGTCCAGGGGTCCAGGAACAGGCACCCGTGCACGTGGTTGGGTCAAGGAGGGCCTGGCGGAGTAGGTTCTTGAAGGGAGCCTGTCTGAAAGGTGACCAGTATGGTCACAGTAGGAGTAGATGCCCTAACAACAAGGTGCTCAGGATGTTCAGCCGCCACTGCCACAATAGCAACAGGTGGCAGTTCTTCTGCAGCATCAGCAGCCAGCCTTTGGGGCCCCATCCGGCCAGCAATAATTTGTTTGGGCCTGAGTACAGGCCGATGTGAGCACAATGGGAGCCCGAAGGTTGGTTGCTACAGTATCTCCAACCAATGGGTAGCTCGGTTGGTTGCAGAAGCTGGGGCCCAGCAAAGATGCTGAGACCCAGGTCACATTCTGGAAGGGCCCTGGGCGCAGCTACTGGGACAGAGGCCGCCCTGTCTGCGCGTCCGGATCGCTGCTTTGATTTCAATTCTCTGCTTCGTGATATACATAAAATGTGCGATTCAGTTTGATACATCTGAAAGGAGGATATCCCTCACATCTTCAATAACAGACGTACCATGAACATTGTCTTCCATCCAGACTTCACATTTGCGACCCGTGCAAACACCATTTGCGAGACACATCGGATGATCAACTCCCGGATTTCGACCGCACTGCTCTTCCGCATGACAACTGAAAAAGGCTTCAAAAATTCGTTCTGGAAGTTGTAATTCGCCAATTCATCCCTCTCCAAGAACTTCATTGCAAGCTGCCGCAGCGAGTCCACTGCATACATGGCAACCGACAAATTCTCCATGCATCCAACAGTGACGAAATAGTCCGACAATACAGACCATATCCGTGACCAGACCAGCCTGATGCGCTTCATGTTGAAGTGTCTGCAGTCAACAGGGTCAATAAAAAACACGGACAGACGTTACAACTTCAGACTATACAAGTGGTAAGCGAAATCCCAACAGCACATTTCGCATCAGGAATTCTCATTTCAAGATAGATCGTGCAAACTCATGCCTGCACATTCAGATGAATGCTGAGGAGGGCAAGAATTTGAAATGCTCTTGCTGGCAATTCGGAGACTTTTGCTGCATGGTCTGATACAAGGGGGATGAGACAGAGGGAGGGATCATTCACATTCACACAAAAACTAAGAGGGATGAGACAGAAAGAGGGATATACAAGTCTTCATGACGGGCCAGTGAGTGCGCCAAACATGTTACACAACTCGGTGGAAGTATTGTGACGTACACAACCGCAATGCACATAGAGGTAAGAGATTGACATAGACTACACAGGCATCAGAAAAAATGTGAAATTTCCCTAACTACACGGAAATCAGCTATCTAATAACCAGCTTTTTCATTTGTGTTAAACCACTAGTACCTCGCCCAGTGTTGGGAAATTAGGGAAAACTGGCAGTTTTCCCAAACTCCTGAAAACTCGGAGGCCGGGCCCGACGACGGCTGCCATTGATAAATCTGATCGGTGGCGGTCGTTTTGTTTCGGCCATCCGAAAAGGTCGGAGGCCCACCCGAGGCCCGCTATTTTCCCACACTCAGCCAAAAGTTGGTATGCAGTGGTACGCCTGTGGTCTGATTCATTTACACATGTTTTTGAAACTTCTTTTCTTGATGTGAGCTAGGCACCAGACTCGCCCTGGACCACTTGCCTGGGCAGAGGGGGGAGGACGGGGGGGGGGGGGCATTTTTTAGTTTCAATTTCTTTTCTCTAATTTTCAATTCGGTAAAGAATTTTGCTGTAACCCTGAGGCAAAAGATGCTTAGGTTTTCTGTTCTCCATAACTTCTTTTCTTTCAGATTTTTTTCTTTCCCCTTTTCACAGGTACCTTGGCTGGCCCTTGCCCGAGTGGGCCGGGTATCTTGTTTTTTTTTTTTTTTTTATGCGCCGGGACTGCCCTTGCCCAGGCGTGGCACCCAAACGAACCCCTGTGATCTTGGGCTACCCGGATCGTCACACCGCAACAAACGGTCATACCCTCCAGCTGCTAAGGTTTCTGATACGAGTTCTAGTCAGGCCTGGGATTATCCCACTTTTTTCCGAAGGTGATAGGATTGGGTTTCAGCATTCATTATGCCATTACTCTCCAACACACATATCACACCTACACTCCACCTCACTCAACCCTTTCAAGGTTGATGAATATTTGATTCATTTATCCTCCTCTTCTTTCCCTTTGTCCGTGCAAAAATCTTTATCCCCTCCGTCTTTCCCTTAATCATCCACTCAATTCCCTGACCATATTTTGGGCACAACTTTGACAATAACTTACGATATTTCAACAATCTTCGTCAGGCTGAAGACACGTGGCTCAGTTTGGGATTTCAATTCTTCGAGAGACACTTTGCACAAGGCCTTCACAAAATCTACGATTGCCCCGCCGTTGAGGCGCTCACTCCTTGTGAATATACGATTCATCTCAAAGCTGTCAATTTGCTCCAACATATTAAGGTTCTGAACAAGATTGTTCATCTGCTCTGATGTGACAATTCCTGCAGCGTGCCCTCCAACTCCAGCACTGTCATATGAGCCACGCCTGGCAGCGTTCGCGGCAGCCATTGCAAAGCGCCCTCCACCCTTTTTCTTGATGGGAGACGGGAGTGCTGGCAGCACATTCTTTATCATGTTCTGAGTCTGACGGGCCTTGTCCATCTCGGATTGCGGCGCCGAAAAGAACATTCCGTCAGTGGCCACACCCTCTCCGATGAGGTGCAAGTGCTCAAACCGGGACACACAAGTAAGAATATGTTCCCATGCCTCCTGAAGATAGTTTCCATCTTCGTCAGCAATCGCCACAAGAGCCTGCCAAAAGCCAATAGAACCACAACAACCAACAACAAAGTGAGAAACAAACCAAGCAATGTTCACATTCTGTCGTGAGATAATATCTTCTTTCGTGGTGGGACCTCCCCCCCCCTCCCTCCCATCCACGTAAAGACCGACCAGTCTGTGTCCCATGCATTTCGTGTATTTCAAAAATTACCCTGTATCCCCACCCCATGTAATGCTATAATTTCGATAATGTCTTTCCACAGGGGTTCGAACTGTGGTCTGCAAAAAAGAAAAAGAAAAAGAAAAAGAAAAAAAAAAAAGCAATCATTCCGTAACGCGTCCCTGTGCTTCGCCAAATATCCGAAACGCATGCCTGTGCTTCACGAATAAAGAAATAAAATCCTGGAAGGGGCGAGTAATGTATGTTGGTGCACATAGCATACCTTGATCGCATCGATATTCTTCTGCTTGATGTCAGCTGCGGAGTGGAGGGATGTAAACTTTGCAAGTGAGGTGATAAATGCATCCCTGTACTTGTCCATGCACATCACCGAAGTAATATGGATTGCATGCCGGAATCCCTCCAAGCACTGGAAGGTGACAACTTCATCATCACTGTTGTCAAGTGGCACACTAAATGCTGCAAGCATTGGGGCCCAAACCACCTCCACCATGGGACGTAGGACCTCCACATCTCGGGCCTCATAATACACCGCTCTGCAAATTACAAAGTCCAATTATCACAGAAACAACAATTGTGAAACTCGCCATATACCCATTGCGTAATAGAGAACATCAAACCCTCCAGCATCGGTCGTAAAGAAACACGGAAATAAAAGACTTCCACAGAATGCAATACGTGGCATGCAGTGAATCGAAATACCCATTGTGCATGCATCAATTTAGGAGAGCCTTTCACAGGTGAATTTTACATGCATGAACACACTTCCAATGCAATACACAAAGAACGTGTTCAGTGAAAAGGCATTTTCACGTTGCAGACCCCAATTCGAGTCCCAGGGTCAAGGTCCCCGAGTCAAAAGAGGACAAGAAGGCCAAAACAGAAAAGGTGTTGAGTAGGGTACCCCTCAGGCCACACAGGTCAAATTCAACCGGTACCCGGCCTAAAAGTCCAGTCCCACACTCAACGTGCAGCAGCGCTCCAAGGAAAAGTCTGGAAGGTACGGGGCCTCAATATTCCAAAAGAAAACAGGCAGCGGGCGACCGGTACCAGTCAAAGTCAGGGCAAGGGCAAGTCGAGCAAAAGGCCAAGTGAAGTACAGGCCCAGTCCAAGTCAGTAAAAATACTGGCCCAGCCTCATTCGGGCAGATTGTTCATTCGCGAGAGGGTGGAAGCGCTGTTAGTGCTTGTGCGCTAATGTGAGTGGACAGAGCGCTAGGGAGCCCTGCTGGGCAGCGCTATGCTGTAGAAGACAGGTGGCCATAGCCACACAGTAGTTGTAACTGTACGACATGTGTGGTAGGAGGCGGATGTATCCAGGGTTGTGATCCCCACAGTGGCAGAGACTGAGAGAGAGAGAGAGGGAGAGTGAGGCAGTGAGGTTGTGTGATACAAGCCACGAGAGAGAGAGAGGGAGTTACATACCTGATTGAGGCTGCTGGGTGATGCGCTGATGAGCGCTTGGTGACTCAGACTCTGAATCTGTATAATATGATGTTGCACTGATGAGCGCTTGGTGGCTCGAACTCTGGCTCTGTATAATATGACCATTCATTGAAGTATATGAGCTGCACTAATCTAGTCTTTCCAGCTCTGGACTTCGGTGTGGATTTTGTGAACTCTCGTGGTGCATATGCTTGGAGTGTCATGCAGTGAAACGAAATACCCATTGCGCATGCATCAATTTAGAAAAGCCTTTCACAGGTGCAATTTACATGAACGACCACGATTCCAGTGCAATACACAAAGAATGTGTTCAGCACCTGGAAGAGTCGTACGGATTTCACATGCACAAATGTCATTCACTTTGTGAAAATCCACTTAAAATCTAGTAGGATCGCTTTCAGGTCATGCAGATCACAAAGTTACTTCATTTCTTCTAGAGAGATACTTCAGCGTTGCTCTCCAGTTTGTCAGGCCTTCCACACAGGAAGTAGGGAGAGCAGGGAATATCAAAATCATCTCAAGAAGGGGGAAAAAAATTGATTAGAAAGTTCAGGCTAATCTCTCTCTCTCTCTCTCTCTCTCTCAAAATTGATTAGAAAGTTCAGGCTTATCTCTCTCTCTCTCTCTCACACACACACACACACACACACACACACTCTTGTGCAAAGCAGTTGGAATTGATGTGGCAGAACTCCACTGCATAGAACACGTGCGATAATCTGTTGCCTCTCCCACATTCTTTTCCAGGTTTTAGGAGAGTACGAGTACGAGCACACACTTCAAGCAGGTGAAGCAATAGAACAAGTCTCAAGCCGGATTTTGTCCTGAGCAGCTTTGTGTGGGTCATGCTCTCTGGGCTTCGGCTTTGGCCTCGCTAAGAAAGAGTGAGATGAACTCCATACAGGCTCATGTGGGGTGGTGCTATCCTCTCGAGACATGCATATGAAATTAGTCTTACCTTGACTTCCCTGCCTTTGCACGGAATGTCTCCTGCATGTGCCTGATCACATCCTCACTTGTTTCCATCAGAGGCACTTCTCTTTGGCGTCGAATAACGAGACTGATTATAGAGTCCAGTCCACCTGCAAACTTATTGCCTGAACTCGGCTGTGATTTATGATCCGACATGTCAACCTTCATCTTGATCTCATTCTTGACAATTCGGTCATAGAGAGATGACAAAACTTCTTCAGGCAGGTCATTACCATCATCAATGCCGCGGTTATTTCTAATGAACTCTGCTTTAGACATCTGCAAAAACAAGACAGGGCAACGAACCGTTGGATGACCAGGTCAAGAGAGAGTCATCTACCTTGTGCATGTCTATCCATTTGACTTTCACGCAAACCGAAAAATACCAGCCCCATGTGGCTAAATGGTACAAAGACTAGAAAATAAGGTCGAAATAATAACTTAACGGGCTCAATCCCATTAAAAAAAAAAAAAAAAAAAAAAAAACAGAAGAAGAAGAAGAAGAAGACCCAGACTAGAAAATCATGGACAAAATGTCATAAGAGCAGATGCCACAGATAACAGTGAGAACATGCGATCGATGAGACTGTGCAAAATAAACACTTCCGCGCAGACCAAAGGCAGCCTACTAACAGAACGGACTTGACAACTTCCAATGAACAATGCAACCACCTGCAACGGAAGATGGAGAGAAGACCAAGAAGCACAGCCAGCACCCACACCCTGTCACAGTGGAAAATAAACAAATCCAGGACGTCACAGTGGAAAACAGATAAGGAGCAACTCGAGACTTCTCAGTTCCTTGGTCATTCTAGCTGGGAAATGCGCGCAAGTCTCACCTTCGAAGGGGCTTTTTTTCCCATTCTTAAGAGAAAGAAGATAGGCACTCTGTTCTGTGGGGCATCGATCTAGTGCCAATTCCAGGCCCCTCCTTTGAACAACCAGTTTTCTGGAGTCCCATGATCAAGCAGGAATTTGTCAGCCATATAAAATTCAGGACACTCTGTGCTGACCTGTTGGGTCGGAACTCCAACAGCCTGGTAGTTTCAGCGATTTCAGTCTTCGAACACCACCCTAAACCTCCTGAAACGCGTGATCAGACAGACTCTTAAGACCCTCGGTGCCACCCTGTTGAAACCAGAAGCAGTCAGACAACTACTCAGAATACGACACAAATTGTCCTTGAGGAGAGAGGTGGAAACAACTGTCTGTCAATGTACGAAAGGACCAGATGACAAACCCTCTATCCAATGCACTTACCGAACTCCTTACGGTTACAGCCTGAATCCAAATCTTGATCAAGGGCTGAACTCACCCATTTAAATCTTCAAATGGATTCGAAGACTAGCCTCAAGGCCCATCAGTCCTAATCCAAGGAAGCCAGAATCAATGTCTCCCATGAAGCGCTAAACTGATATCCACCCTGGTCAGCTGATTGCATTTTTGCGACCTCAGTTTCTTGCAAGGTTTAAGGTTCGATACAAGATTCCCAAATGCAGCATTTTCCACACTAAGCAAGAATTTCCGAAATGGGCTCTCGCATAAGAGAATAGCACAACGTAATTACCCCCACATTGCCTCATCAGCGCAAGGGAACAGTTTCCAACAATCAAAATGGTTTTGTGCAAAACCAACGTGTAACAGGGGTGTTCAGGCAATGTCTTCACCCATGCAAGGACACCGTTTCATGGAGTCACATGGGGGCTCACAAGAAAGAACAGTTACTATGGAGCCGTGATCATTGTATAGCAGACTCTCTCTCTCTCTCTCTCTCTCTCTCTCTCTCTCTCTCTCTCTCTCTCTCTCTCTCTCTCTCTCTCTCTCTCACACGCACACACACACACACACACTCACACACAATCCCAACTTCAAACCCCAGATGTGTGGATTGCCATACAAAAATTTAGTGACCCACAGTCCAACAGCAGTACTCACTCCATTCTGACAAATCAATGATGGTGGCTCTTAACCAGTAAAGGACAACATCATGAGCCAACACCCAACCCCACAGTCACTTGCTGCCAGCAACAGCAGGAGCCAAAGTGCCAAGATAGTCTGCCCCATGCACAGAGCACACCCGACAACACAGCTCACACGGCAAATGTTGGCTCGGAGCTCAATGTGAAACCATGATCGAGAACACATCTTGCAACACACCTTACATGACAAACACCTGCTTAGCGCTCAGTGGCACTTCAGTGCTGAGATCAAGCAAGAGAGTAGGTAATGCGCTTTTGAATCCAAATGTGTATGGGGAGGGGAACCAACAGATAGAGACAGATGACTTCTCTGATATCTGTTCGGTAGACACGGTCATTCTCTGAGAGTCCTGACCACCAGACCAGGGTCGCAGATGATTACGACAGCTTTCTATCTAGATTCCCATGAGCTCTTTCATCTGTGAATTCACAGAGAGTGAGAGAGGCAGTCTTCCTATCCATATTTGGCGTTGCCCATGTTTCTCCATGAATTGACTTTTGTCGTCAACACAACACGATCATAAATGCTACCTGAAGTATCATGACCTCATTATCTACCAAAATGGCCAGAAAAGCTGAGAAAACTGATTGAAGATGCAAGAGAGACAAAGAGGCGGATTTCTGCACAGCTTTGTGGCATGACTATTGCATCCATGTCATCACATGCTCACCCAGCTGATGAGGGTGTGTTGGTGGCTGTGTTTCGCAATGTTTCTTCAAATGTGCTGTTCAGTCCCAGGACATGGACAGAAAGGGGGAGAGAGAGAAGGGAACAAACTCAGTGTCTTCGCCATGTACTGTTCTGTTGACACAGAGAGAGATTGCGAGTGATGACAACAGATATATTCCTTCTGAATAAGTGTCTCCATCTTCGTCATAATTTGATCGTGGTCATTACCTGGAGTTTCGTGACATGTCTTTTCTCTGAGTTTTGTGCCATGGTTTTTCTATCTATGTCGTCATACGTCCAATCTGATCATGCACAGACAGCGAGAGAGCGAGTCAGATGATCTTCAACGCGATGTAATTATTCTTCACACTTCACCGCTTCTGTGCATTTGCCATGGTGCTGCAATCACCATCACTTTGTGGAGTGTCATGACGCATCATTTCAAGTTCCTTGCCGACACTTATTCAATAATATCAATATGCATCATCACATGCTTTTTCGACTAGATGATGCACCCCCAAACCGCCCCCAACCCCCCCAMCCCCCCCCCCCAATACCCCCTATGTAACCCCTATACCCCCCTATACGCCCCCTATACTGCCCCTATACTCCAACCCCAACCCCCCATACCCCCCCCCATCCCCAAAAGTTTCTCAGCGGATTTGGGCTGTACTCAGCAAGCGCATTACAGACCCCAACTCAGATTTGAAAAAAAATTAGTGGATGGTTGTTTTATGACTGGTTGGCAGACCGCCGACCAGTCGGCCCCACTGGTCAAAAAAATAGTACACTGATCGACTCAAAAAAATAGTACATACCTTGATCTTTACCATCGGGTTATGTGCATCAGTGTTCAGCATGATGACCGAATAAGCCAGAACGTACGCCGTATCTGCACTTGTGAAGGCCTTTGGATTACACTTGCAATAACGCTCAGCAAGTTTTTCCATCAATCGATCAATCTTCTGTGATTCTCCAGACGGTCGAAAACCCACAACCAGCTTCCTGATGGCATCGTCGATCCCCATTCCAGAGAAGTCACACGAGTCGACATATGCATGCATGACCTTCAAACAGAACTCCTCCATTTCACCCAGATATTCCCCCACCGTCACTTTGTCAAGGCCCGGTGTGGACTTCAAAAATTCAACTACTCCTTCAGGAGATCCATCAATCTTCCCTGACTTAATAAGGTACTCCAATCCCTTCTTGGGTTTTTTGTTGAACCTGTTGATTCCCTCCTGTTATCCGCACACGCATACACCACACACACACACACACACACACATGCGCGCGCGCACGCACACACGAAAGATACGACAACCCAACCAGACAGTCAGCCACCAGCACATCAGAGAGATGGAATCATTAGATTCAACCCTCACAATTTGCACACGCCTTGAGAGCAACCCCAGTCCTATTCCTTCCAAGTTTCCACCCTTACTGGCATTCTCACCACACAAAAAGAACTAGCATGCCAGATGCTAGTCACTAGCACAGGTGGCATGCATAAAGCAACTCGCACATAATTTGGGCACACTGCACAACCCACTTCCACTCACACTCCCTAGTCACTAGCACAGGTGGCATGCATAAAGGAACTCGCACATAATTTGGGCACACTGCACAACCCACTTCCACTCACACTCCCTGTTTCTCAAGTGGAATATGCATGTGGAGAAAGGGCAGATTTTGTCAAGGGCAAGCACACATTTTGTCTAGGAAAGGGCACATTTTTCATGGGAAAGGGCACATTTTATCTGGGAACAACACACAACATAGCCCAACCCACCGACATGCTGATATGCAACTGACCTGCAACTCTAGCTTGTACGCCCTGCGCTGCTCAAGTTGAGCAACTTCAGAGGACTCTGCAACATTCTCTGATGACAGGTCTGTCATATCTGTGCTGTCCTCCACAACCCCATCACCCTCACGAGCCCCTGCTGCAAACGAAGACGCTGTGTCACTGACTGCATCTTCAACTGCAGAGAGAATACTTATCGCCTTGTTCATGTATGGCACATCCGTAAGCCGAAGCTGGCGATTCATCCAGTTACCCATTGACCTCAACACCCCCACAAGAATCTTCAGCGCAGCCAATTTGAGACCCGTGTCCTGCTGTGGTGTTAACGATGTGTCAATACCAGGAGAAACACCCTGTGCAGTCTTCAGCAGCCCGTTCACCATCCTGCACAAAATCTCGTAGCCAAACAGAAATAGCCCCTCACCAATCAGATACTCGACGCCACCTGCCTAAACCCGTCTTTTGAAACAACGATATGAAATCACCAAGCGCATAAAAGCAGAAACCACTACCCACGAAACCTCTCTCTCTCTCTCTCTCTCTCTCTCTCTCTCTCTCTCTCT